GAGGTTTACTTAAGTGCCACTTAAAAAAGGTACTCCGCTTCACTGAACAACACAAGTGCTATTCACCCGGACAGATATAATACATCGTGTCCATTGAAGCAACTATCTCGCCAAAGCAAAGGAGTAATCAATCTTAAGCACGTTTGAGGTAATAGATAAGTTGAAAATGATTACCCTAAACATACAGATGATCGTCCGGGGTGTACAGAGCAATTACGATTGTAATTAATATAAAAACGCGATGTCCTGGGCAAACAAAAATTTTGTTGACTCTACGTTCTTCCCAAGACGCAAGATGCCATTTGCCACATTGACATCATCGATGTCTCTCTGTTGAAACTCAAGGCTTTTATATCAATCATGCAATGACCACACAATCCCCCTTACTTTTTTCCAAAAGCATTTTAGTATGAAACGGAAAGTATACAAAACAAATTCATATCTTGTTAGTGTCTTTAATCTTATTTCACGATCTCAAGATTTCACGATTTTACGATAATTTGTGTACCACAACTGAATTTAATAATACAATTCTGCCTTTGGCCTAATTGGTATCTAACAGTCTGGGAGTCGGCGGTAGACTTTCATCTTCAGTTGCTCCAGGCCGGAAGCTTGATCTTCCTCTTCGTCTGGTTTGGTAAATTGGCCTTTGATGTGATCCACTTTGGCTGTTGAGTAAATCTGGGGACTATAAGTGACATTGATGGAGGATGAATGCAAGATAAGGGAATAATAATATTGTGCTGAAACGTACATGACATTGTGAGAAAATCTACATTTGTTCAAGGATGAGATCAAACAGTAGTTTCAGGTCTTATTTGAATTGAAATCCTCAGCTCCCATTGCCCAAATTAATCTCAAATAACAAATATTGTTAAGATCTTTCAATTTAGAAAATGTAAAATATAAACGCTTCTTCATCTTAGATAGAAAAGTAGTGTGGTTAAACGATATGAACTAGTGTGGTGATCTGATGTGAATTAGTGTGGTTAGCTGATTGGTATTTAGGATAACAAACAATAATCGACAGAACTGACAATCAACACCATTACATCGTGCTCTATCATTATTTACTATCGATAATTCAGGGTACCGAGGCATGTCATAAGTTGCTTAAACCGATTTGGAAAATTTTAAAAGTTAAATACAATTCTTAAATCATTCAGTTGGATTGTTCACTTATTAAATCATTTTTTGGAAAGAGTCTCTCATGTCATATTCTTTTCGAGTACACCTATCTTCAATTGTATAACATATACCAGCGTTCACACATGCCACCAATTCATAGAATGGGAGATTCGTTCCCCTTATGTTGTAAAGGGCATTCATGGATTTCATATTTGAAGATTCTTCAATTCGCGTCTAAAACCCAGCTTGTATTCGCAAATGCAACTAACGCCCGTCGGCTACCGGATTAAACTACTATTTTATGTCCAACTCATTCAAATATGAATATTAGCTGCCACTATTCTATTTATATTTAAATGAGTTGATCATAAAATAGTAAGTTAATCCGGTAGCCGCTAGCCGTTAGTTGCATTCGCGAATACAAGCTCAGCAACCTCGACTTTCGTTTTTTCATTTTACAACATCATATCAGGTCAAACACGAAGGCCAAATTCGCTACTGGGGAAAGAATTGATCCAAAGCGAGAAGAAAATGCATGTTCTTTAGGTTGATTTCCCAAGGGGACATTACTTTACGTTCTTTAGAAACAATGGTACAAAACTTAAAATCAATTTGTCTAGCTAGCAAGCATTTGAGATTCTGTGGTGGCGTATTCCTTATATATAGTACTATATATATGGTCATTGTCTGATTTCGACATATACATATATTTATTTGTATAATTATAGTCCAATATGGTTCTGTTATAGGAAATATAGTGTAACGCTGTGCCTAAGAATAAATTGCAAAACTATATTGCAGTTTTAAAATCACTAATGCATGATCTGTATAATAAATTCACTAATCGGAATAATATAATTGTATGTAGAGTTTAATTGGGGTAAGTATAAACATTAAAGTGAAACAGTTCTAATTAAAAACTGACATATCGAATGGATATTGCTTTTCTTAGAGAAGTGAGAATTGCCTTTCTTCGTTTTAATTTGTATTAGCCCAGATGGACGATGGTGTTAGTTACAAATTATAAGCTGGGACACTTTATGACCATCGCATACTAATCGTGGTGTGGCTATTGAGGAAACCATATGCTTAAAATCCCCAATAGTGGTATTTTATACTAATAATCAATTTATCAGACTATCCGCATACAGGCCCTAGCTATCCTCCTGATGGTTAAGCGTAAGGTATTCCTCTTATAAAATTGGAAAATAAAGTTAATTATGTCCCGAAAGAAGGAAAGAATAGCAGTGTCGATAAAGAAATCTAAAAGTACGATTTAGTCATGTCTTTGTGAAAATTTACAAGGAAAATATGCTCGAAGTTGCAATTTATGCACCGGAAGTTAGTCTCAGTCTCGCGATAAGCATGGTCATATTTCATCTAAAACATTTCCTGAAAGAATTCATTCAGAAATAGACCATATATCATATTTTTAAGTCATAGATGCTCTTTCTAACATATCCCAGTGGAATCCACGTTTCAGCGCTCTAAAAATATGAGTATTTACATAATTTAGACTTTATAAGTATAGTGCCACAATGATTATATTTATTTATATTATAATGTAGGGCAACTGTTTCTCAATAAACACCATTTCTCTAAGTAATGGAAAGTCATTAATCGCAATGGTGGATTTAAAGAGTTTTTACACCAACTGTACAATTATAACTTACTTATGAAAAGCACAAGCATTGATTTTTGATATTTTCTTATTGGAGACATTTATCCGAGACTCTATAATATGTTATTTAGCAAATTAGCAGGGGTCTTATTCCAATGGAAACTTTAGTAGCTTTAAAAATACGTATGATTAATTTGGCACTATTGTCCTTGTAGATACTGTATTCAAGAATTACTAAATTATTATCAGTGGTTATATTCTTTTGGATACTGTATTACTAATTACTAATTCAAAGGTGGTCTTATCCAAATGAAAACCGTATCAACACATACTAATTTAGCTTATTGAAAACTATATTCACCAATTACTAATTCAAAATGATCTTATCATAGTGGAAACTGTATTTATCAAATACTAATTCAAAGTGATCTTATCATAGTGGAAACTGTATCTATCGAATACTAATTCAAAGTGATCTTATCAAAGTGGCAACTGTATTTATCAAATACTAATTCAAAGTGATCTTATCATAGTGGAAACTATATTTACCAAATACTAATTCAAAGTGATCTTATCACAGTGGAAACTGTATTCATCAAATACTAATTCAAAGTGATCTTATCATAGTTGAAACTATATTTATCAAATACTAATTCAAAGTGATCTTATCATAGTGGAAACTGTATTTTATCAAATACTAATTCAAAGTGATCTTATCAAAGTGGAAACTGTATTTATCAAATACTAATTCAAAGTGATATTATCAAAGTGGAAACTGTATTTTGACAAATACTAATTCATAGTGATCTTATCATTGTGGAAACTAAATTTATCAAATACTGATTCAAAGTGATCTTATCATAGTGGAAACTGTATTCATCAAATACTAATTCAAAGTGATCTTACAGTGGAAACTGCATTTATCAAATACTAATTCAAAGTGATTTTATCAAAGTGGAAACTTTATTTATCAAATACTAATTCAAAGTGATCTTATCAAAGTGGAAATTTTATTTATTAAATACCAATTCAAAGTGATCTTATCATAGTGGAACTGTATTCATCAAATACTAATTCAAAGTGATCTTATCAAAGTGGAAACTGCATTTATCAAATACTAATTCAAAGTAATCTTATCAAAGTGAAAACTGTATTTATCAAATACTTATCCATATCGTTGTGGAGTTAATATTTTCAAATTACTAATTCATCAGATGTTGTGTCCTTGTATTTATATTTAGAGTGGAAGTTATTGGTGTATTTTCTCAAATAACTAGTTCATTAGTGGTCGTATCCTTGTATTGATATTTAAAAAGTATCGATTCAGTTGCGGTCTTATTCTTGTGTGGAAGTTATTTGTGCATATCGGGTGTCCCAAAAAATAAATCGCATTTTAACAAGTGTTTTCTCAGTGATTGAAAATAGTTTCAAGGTGAAAGGTTTGGGTTGGGGATCAATCATAGAGGAATTACGGGCGATTCATTGTCATTTTACTGAAATTAAACCTATCCATTATCGATGGAAAAATACTTAAAAGCATTTCTGCTTGGAAACACAGGTTCTTTAAGACTGAAATAAGTAGCCTTTCCATTGATATTGGATTTTTTGAATTTGTCATGCATTTTTGAATTTGACAATTCTCACATAACATGTACCCGATCTGTTTCATATTCTTACAACTTACTGATGATATCTCGAGGCTACCTAATAAAAAGTTTCAATGAATTTGAGTAATCAATTGCTGGGAAAACAAAAAAGCGATCCAATTTTTTGGGACACTCGATATTTTCAAATTACTAATTCATCAGTGGTCGTATCCTTGTATTTATATTTACAAATTATCAATTGAGAGGCGGCCGTATTCTCGTGTGGAAGTTATTGGTGTATATTTTATAAATACTAGTTCACCGGCCAGTGGTCATATCCTTGTATTTATATTTACAAATTATCAATTCAGACCTGGTTTTATCCTTGTGGAAGTTACTTCATATTTTTAGATTACTAATTCAACGGTAGTCGTATTCTAGTATAAAGATTGTTTAACTATCTTGGAAACTTTATTAACCCATTATCAATTACAATTCATTGTATTGAAAGCTATATCTATGAATTTCTTATTCAGTGGTGGTCGTATTGTCTTGAAAGCTACTTTTACTAATTACCGATTCAGAGGAGGTCGTATTGTATTGGACACGATATTTACAAATCACCAATTCAGCGGTGCTTTTATTATATTGAAAAATATATTTACCAATTACTAATTCTGTGGTGGTCTTATCCTCCCTGTCGCCTGATGAAAAATAACTGATGTATTTGCATTGTGATTGTCGAAGGCTTGAGTCACCAATTTCTGAAAGAAACATTATATTCGAGGTGATTTGGTGTTTGAATAGTTGTTAATATAATGTTTTTTAGCATTCCATCTTGATGGTTTTATTAGGATAACTCATTTAAAACGTTTTAGAACAAACTATCTTTCATTGATATTATGTTTCACTATAAATGCTGCTCACTTTGTGTAAACGATGGTGATACTGGAGGAGTCATAGTTCTATATTTGATGAACTTTATGTATGATTTGATCATGGCAACCCACAAGGTATCTGAGTAGATGCCAAATGGAGGACGATGCATCAAAAACACGAACACTCGGTACGTTCCAACTAAAGTTCTGTCAAATTTCAAATAAGTGTTCGTTAATTCTGTACCCGAATGAGTGCATTTCTCCAATAACCAATTTATTCTCTTCAATGTTAATCTTGAAGGATGTAATTTGTAAATATGAAACGTCCTCAAGATCACCAATATTTATCAAATGCTAATTTAGGACAGACTGCCAAATTAATTTTGGAACATATTATTAATTGTTTGTATTAGTTTCTTGACATGCCTGTGCATCAACAACCAAGTTACTAAATTAGATGTCATGTTTTTCAAACCTGTTCCTTCTAGTGGCTTCATGTCCATCGTTAAGGGGTGGCTTGTTGGGATAATCTCTGCAAAGACAGATACAATTACAGTACAAACAACATCGCAGGTTAGACGTGATTTCACATGCATGACAGACAGTATCGCAATTTGAGTTGGTTTTAGCCCCTGAGTCTACGAGTACCATCCTTTGTGACACTTACTGTCCCTGATCTAAGTGAACCAAATGAATGAGGAACTCGTTCAACAGGGGATGACGATCCCTGCTACACCTATGTAGATGGGGTATATATACTTGTCACTCGAAATACCCCTTTTCTCCATTGGTGAATAAGATGAGCTAGTCATTTGCATATTTGCCTCTTCAAATTAAAATCAATAAATATCAGGGACAGAAAGGTCTAGCGTGGGAGGAGGGCGATATATCCCCGGGGGACAACATTCCTTCCAATTCAAACATGTCCTTCTCAGAGCTACACACGTACAGATACAAAATATAATTTTTTCTATTCGTATTGTGTCTGCGTTTAAGGTGCATATTTGTGAAGAAAACATAAAAAGTGAACCACTTGAAAAACATAGACCAAAGCAAATCTGTTTAATTAAATGACACAAAAAGAAATGTGTTCTTGATCCATGTGACTCATGGGATATCAAAACACATACAATCGAGCAAGCAAAAACAATTGTAATGCATGTATATTAAATATATGTATTCGATAGTCTCTTTGTCACAAGAATACCATGCGCGCAGAGTCTAGTTAAACTACACTCAAGGAGTGAAGTCGAACGAATACAAAGGACATATCAAGAAGGAAATTCGAATTAAATTAAAACGTCTTTTTCCAAATATAATCCCTGCTCTGTCAAATGATCCGCATCTGATTCAGTAAATATAGATTAAATATATTGAATGATTAAGATATTTTTAAGTATTGTTATAAATTACTCTTGTACTCGCTGTTTGGATATGATCAAATAATAAAGGCACATCATTAGCAGTTCATCTTTTAAAATCAAAACATTTTTGATTCATCGGTTCGTCCCAATGGACTTTATTTTCTATCAAATATCTATTATCACAACATAACATAGACTAAAACGACACAGCCAGTACCTCTGATGTTGAAAAAAATCCAGTTTTGTCCAGATCGATATAAAATCCGCTCATTGGTACTGTCCTAATTTGGAATGAACATAGCAGTAACTCATACGCCGAAAATAGGTTTACCTACGTCATTCTGAGAAGTAAATAAGCTACAAATCCATTGGGAAAATCAAAACACTTCCTTTAATGTAATTAGACAATGATAGACGTATACCTAGTGTATCTATTCTATATATCATCGGATTATTGTATACCAAGTACTCTTATTTGTAAAACCATGGCCGACAAAATGACAACATTCCCTCAGCTAATCATAAGAAATAGAAATAAGTGTGATGGGTCGTACGAAAGGTTACATTAGTATAAGCAAAATATTATGATATATGCAAAAAGATCGATCGATTCTATCATATGTTGAAGGTATTATCTAGAATTACGTGAGGAAATAGTGTATAAAGTTCAAGCCAGATAATTCGGTAATATGGTTTCAAGATGACCACCAGACCAGATCTATGTCTATACCATCTTGACTTGTACAGGGTGTCAAATAAATATGTTCTTCCCTCTTAATTTCAGAAGAATGAACACTTTTGTGCATAGAAATGCATCTAGTTGAGCTAGCCATCTGAAAATTATTGTGGAGTTCCTCTATGAAAACTAGTTTTGAGGTACCACAGAACAATTCAGATATCATGCAGACAAGAAAAGTAATAAAACATCGTGTAGATTTTTAAGCTAAGAGGATGAGAACATATTTATTTGACACCCTGTATAGCCCCAGAAAAAATGCCATAAAGGGAAAATCAAGACATATTGCAAAGAAATATGCAATAAAGATGAATAACAACATAGTCAGTCATAAAATAATAAATCATTGATATCCAGTAATATAATATAAACACAAGGGAACAGTGCCAAACACCCATCATCACCTTTTAAGAACAATGTAAAGCAACAAACTAGAACTGGACTTTTGGATGTTCAGTCCAAACACAAATGCTCATCCAACATAGAGCACTCGGCGAGTGATACAAAACAGGCGAAGCATAGTTCACAAGAGTGTCAAAAAAGCCCATATCCATCCGCAAAGGTATCACTAAATGTACATTATTTCTCCGTTTATAAAGCATTCATATGTCCTTGTTTCAAGTAGCGTCATTACTTACTATCATCCCTTAATGAATTCCCACGATCATTGATTGAATAAACGTCATTGCAAAAATGCTAAATGAATACAAATGGTTCAAGTAATACAGAAAGGTGTTATCAGTTGTCTCATTCGAGTGCTATTTCAAAGAGTCAGGTGAGAAAAGATCTCCGAGTGATATGCCAAATGAAAGCGTTCGTAGAGTTCAAACTTTAAGCCATAGGAGATGTGTTGAAGTACACAAACATATATAACTAAGAAGGACGTAATGAAACATTCAAACTTCAAATTATTGAGCAAAAGAAGAGGTCGACACTGAAGTGCACAAAACAAACGTTCACAACATTTGAACTTAAAATCATTGATCTGATGTCGGAGGACGAAAACACATATTACTCCAAAGGACGTAATGAAAATATTGACAACATCCAAACGTCAAACCATAGAGCAAAATAAGAAACTTTTTACAAATCGAACGCTGACAACATTCGAACTTCAAATCATGGAAGAGATTTTGGAGGACAAAAATACATGAAACTCTAAAGGACACAATGAAAACGTTGACAACATCCAAACGTCAAATCAAAAAGCGAAAGAAGAGACCTTGAAGTACACAAACACCCTAACATATCAAACGTTGACAACATTTGAACGTCAGATGAGAGATGAAATACATAAACATATATAAATCTAAAGGACGCAATGAAAACGTTGACAACATTCAAACTTAAAATCATAGAGCGCAAGAAGAGGCCTTGAAGTACACGAACACTCTAACAAACCAAACGTTGACAATATTCGAAGTTCAAGGAATACAAGAGATGTTGAAGTACACAAACACATATACTTTTAAGAGACGTGATGAAAATGTTGACAACATTCAAACTTTAAATAGTAGAGCGCAAGAAGATTGAAGTCCACGAACACTCTAACAAATCAAACGTTGACAATATTCGAAGTTCAAAGCATACAAGAGATGTTGAAGTACACAAACACATATACTTTTAAGAGACGTGATGAAAACGTTGACAACATTCAAACTTTAAATCACAGAGCGCAAGAAGATTGAAGTACACGAACACTCTAACAAACCAAACGTTGACAATATTCGAAGTTCAAAGCATACAAGAGATGTTGAAGTACACAAACACATATACTTTTAAGAGACGTGATGAAATCGTTGACAACATTCAAACTTTAAATCATAGAGCGCAAGAAGATTGAAGTACACGAACACTCAAATCAAACCAAACGTTGACAATATTCGAAGTTCAAAGCATACAAGAGATGTTGAAGTACACAAACACATATACTTTTAAGAGACGTGATGAAAACGTTGACAACAGTCAAACTTTAAATCATAGAGCGCAAGAAGATTGAAGTACACGAACACTCTAACAAATCAAACGTTGACAACATTTGAACTTCAAATCATAAAGAGATCAATTCTCATAAACAAGACCATTGCCATATAACTCAGCCAAAGATTTCCTCAATGATATACCTAAGATCTGACAAACAATAACACATTATATGTTGGAAAATTTCTACCTCGTCAATTCATTGTCATCTTTGGAAATATAGCAAAGAAGAACGTTTGCCCCACAAATCATCTTTAAAAGAGAATGGCTAGATCAAACGAGCGATAATAAAACAATCAAACCAGGAAATCAGTGATCCGTTATTGTTTATTTACAATAAATCTATGAGTGAGGGGTGTTTTCTTAATTTTCTAAAGCTAATGCAATTATAAGTGATTTTCCTCTTTAAAGCCAAGAAACTTTTTCACAAATTATCGTCTAATTTCTGTTTTGTTATTTTTTCGAAATTACTTGATAGTTAATACTTATGCGACTCTATGCTTTTATTGAGCGTCATCAGATTCTAAAACTAAAACACTTACGTTTCAGAAAAAAACATTTTGATTAGAAGTACTCACTTGGACTGTTTCCTGATCTTTTAAAAGCATTTGACAAGTTTAATCATGATGCTCATTTTGAAAGGATAAATATTTATGGAATAAGGGATATTCCCTAAATTTTTTCTAAAATTATTATTCAGGAAACAGAAAACAAAAAGGTTTTTATAACGATGTTTCACAGAAATTGACTGTTATATTGTTTTCCACAAGGCCCTCTCTTCGGTCCTCCTTATTTCATTATCCACATGACTGATATGTACGTGGCATACTTTGCAGTGACTACTCTAAACTCCGTTATGATACAAATGTTTGGCAAATGATTCTAGTATTGATCCTCTAGTAGAGAAGCTTAACCAGGAACTAGTCACTTTTGATGAATGATTCACATCAAATTGCGAGTATCTTTGAATATAACATTGTTTAATTTGTATATAATTGATACAACCTGACAATTTTATCCACAACCTTTCGGTGACTATTATAATCGCACTGACAAAATGCATAATTATCTTACTGGACAAAACAATTTGCAAAGAGCTGCATGGACAGATGTTTAAAACTAGTATCAAATTGTTTTCAATAAAACAGCCCGTGTCTGAGTTTTTTAAACCAAGACTAAAGAATCCTTATTCCAAATAATCGTTAATAATTAGCACAATAGTTTTGGGTTTCATACCTCCCTTTGTTAATTCCACTTATCAGTATCATTAGCAGATGTCGCTAAGCTACACATTATATGATAACCCTAGTATCAGATGTCGCCAAGCTACACATTATATGATAACCCTAGTATCAGATGTCGCCAAGCTACACATTATATGTTAACCCTAGTGTCAGATATCGCCAAGCTACACATTATATGATAACCTTAGCATCAGATGTCGCCAAGCTA